GAGCGGCACACAAAAAAAGTGCCACTAAAAGCGATACCACTAAAGCCTTTTAGTGGCACTTTTTGGTTTGTCACTACAAACATTTAAGGTTTTAGTGACACTTTTTTTTGCCACAATATACAAAAAAGATTTTGTAGCACAAGTTTTGTGCGGTTAAAAAATATTGTTATTAAAATCTATACCACATTTAGTGGCACATAATTTTGCAAAACCAACCGTATTCCCAATTTAAATGTCATTATAGACAGTTAACATATTAGCTTTGATTAATTAAAATCATTAATTAGAAAGATAAACAAAACAAAATTGTAAAATCATAATACCATCATTTCAATTAAAAGTTAAATCGTCTCCAAAAACGTTCCAAATGTTGGAAACAAATTCCTACTAAGTGTCAATTAAGTCTAAAAATCTAACATTAAACACAAAAAATCATTACGCTCTTAAATCTCTCTCAAACTCTTCATGGAAGTAGTAATGTGCTCCTCGTGTAAACTCTTTCTACCAATGACACTAGTGGTTACCTGTTAAAAAAAACAAACACCTTTCAATATTGCATACAATGAAAACATGATTCAAAATGCAAGTAAAAGTATTGTCCAATACATATGTGAAAAGTTGAAACAGTAAAGTATATACCATTGTTATCCTGACTTCTTACTGGTGATATCTGGTTAACTGATATAGAGTTGTTAGGGACTGAAGAAATACCAGGGACCTAAAACATATTAATGAAAACAAATTAATATGATTAATACATAAAATATAAACTAAGTATTAGTGCATGTAATTACCTCTATGTTCATATTTCTAAGAACTGCAGACAAGTTTGCATTAGGGATATGTTCTTGGATGATGTTTGCCATAACGTTGACAACACTCTTTAGTGATGAACCGTTTGTGAATCTGATGAAGAGTCCCACCCTTTTTTGCAGCCGGCATCCTTCCAACTAATCGAACATACCCCCTTTTCTCTGGGCCTTTAACCTTTGAGTAGTCATCATTTGTAATATCACTTGAATCTCTAGGTGTGCTTATGGAATCACTTGCAATAGCTTTCAATGAAGCCTAAATATATCATCACACATGTAATATTTAAAAAATAAACATACATATGATAAAGAATAAACATACATATGATAGGAACATTTAAAATACATAAAAGTGCATTACCACCACTTCAGCCGTTTTCTCATCCAATACTTCCATCTTTCGAGTGCGGTTGTTCCATACATTTCTCCCTCGTGATGGGTATACACCATTATTATTTATTGCCTATAAAAGGAAAAAAAATATGTTTAATATATAGCTATTAAAGGAAATGAAAACCAAAAAAGACAAAAATAAATAAATAAATAAAACTAAAAAAAACAAGAATAATACCATTTCATGAGCAAGTCTGGCAAATGATTTCGTTCCCGTAACATGAGGCTCGTGCATCTTTTCACGACTCGTTCTTTTTACAGCACATGTACTCTAAGGTAAATAGTAAATTATTACACATTCTTCAAATATACATAAAATGAAACTTACAGATCTACCTGAAATTCAGAAGTGAACCAACGAGTAACTAATTCTTTAAATTGAGTTGGATTCACTCTATTGTCTTTTTTAGTTTGTTGTGTCCCAATTTCATCAATAGAAAGGCTAGGATCATACGCACGTGTCTTTAATGAACCTTTCCATGTTCTCCATTTTTTTCCCATGCTATGAAAGATCCATTTTTTAATCTCACTAGTCTCAACTGGATGAAATATAAACTTGGACTACACATAAAAGAATTAATATATTAGCATATATGAATACAAAAAGAAAATCCTTTATCAAGTATTATAAGTGATATATACCTTAACCAGTGAATACATATCCTCTTTCTTTTGTATGGGAACCTTTCTCCAGTCAGAATATTCTATTGAAACATGATCGGCCATCCTCACAAGCGTTCCAAGGTACTGAACAAGTTCATTACCTTCCATCCCCCATTGGCTTTCCAAAGTTGTTAAATGTGACAACTATTCTTTGTGTACTATTCATTTTCCATGTTTCTGATTTTTGGGTATAACCTCTGACCTTTTTGGGAGCACCTAAACAATAGCAACCAAAAAAATGTAACTCAATAGCAACCGGGGAATAAACAACAAAAATTGAAATAGTGACATATTCTATCATATTTTTGTCAACACAGGGACCTATTTTGTAAATTTCATAGGACCAAATCTGTAAAATCAATTCAGTAAAAGGACCTGTAGTTGATCATTAACATATCAGTAAAACGACAATTTTTGTATAAATAATTCAGCAAAAACATGGTTATTGTTAAAAAAAATTGTTAGATAAAATCTAATTAACTGGTCTACTGAAGACGGTTTCTACTTTCGATATATATCTGGAGCAAAAAGTTATACTTTCTTCAGCTATATAACCTTCAGCAATTGATCCTTCCGGACAAGCTCTATTATGAACGTATGACTTAAGTTTACAAAAGGTACCTGTAGTGCCATAGTTACAAGTCACTGATTATTTATAAGTTTTAAATTGTAGAAAACAATAAATAAACTTTATAGAAATGTTATGTACCTTTCAATAGGGTACATCCAACGAAATGCAACAGGACCTCCAAGCCTCACCTCTCTGGTTAAATGGATTACCAAGTGTACCATTACAGTAAAGAAGGAAGGCGGAAATATTTTCTCTAATTTGCATAGAGTGAGAGAAACTTTAGCCTCAATAAAATTTAAATCATCATCAGATAAATCCTTGTAGCAAATGATCCTAAAAAAATCGCATAATTCAATTATGACCGAGCTTACATGGTCTGGTAAAGTTCCACGTAATGCAATCGACAAATACTCTTGCATCAACACGTGACAATCATAACTTTTCATCCCAATTAGTTTGCGCTCATTTAAATGAACACATCGAGAGATATTGCATGAAAACTCATCAGGTGGTTTGATTGACTTGAGACATTTTAAAAATTCAGTCTTTTCAGCCCGGGACATCTGATAGCAGGCTTTTGGCATGAAAGTAACATTACTTCTAGGTCGTTTCTTTGGATGCAATTCCTTTCTCATACCTAATTCTTGTAAGTCAAGCCTTGTTTTATAGTTATCTTTGGACTTTTTTTCTTGTCCTAATACAGTCCCCACTATGTTGTCTTGCATATTTTTTTCAATGTGCATCGGATCAAGATTGTGACGTAAAAGCAAATGTTCCCAATATGGCAACATAAAAAAAATACTTTTCTTTTTCCATGGACCGCCATTAACATTGTCAACAAGAAATTCTGTATTTTCTAGTTTTTGTAGAATCTCCTCTCCAGAAGAAGGAACTGGAGCTACTCTTAATTCGTGGCGTCCAAGAAACGATCTAGTGTCTAAACGCCAATGATGGTCAACTGGAAGCCACCTCCTATGACACATATAACACCACTTTCTTCCATTGGTTAGCCATTTGGAATCAGTATCAAAACCACATATAGGACATGCAAGTTCTCCTTTAGTGCTCCATCCAGACAGATTGGCATAACCTGGAAAATCTGATATGGTAGAAATAAGAGCAGCCTTCAACTGGAAGTGTTGTTTCGTTGATGCATCAAATGTATTCACTCCATCCTCCCATAACTCCTTCAACTCTTTAATCAGAGGTTGCATATACACGTCTATTTTGTTTCCAGGACTTTTTTGGACCCGGGATGATTAAAGAAAGAATGAAATTTGGTTGCTTCATAACCAACCATGGAGGCAAGTTGTATGGAATAAGAAAAACTGGCCAAATACTGCGTGCCACATTCATTGTCCTAAACGGGTTGAAACCATCACTCGACAAAGCTAGGCGAACATTACGGGGATCACGAGCAAATTCTGGAAACTTTTCATCAAAATCTTTCCAATTTAATGCATCTGCTGGGTGTCGCAGCTTTCCATCTTTTACACGATCTACATGATGCCACTTCATAAAATTAGCTGTCTTTGATGACATAAACAATCTCTGAAGTCTAGGCTTTAGAGGAAACCACCGCAATATTTTTGATGCCTTTTTCTTGGGAGGACTCACTTCTTGTTCTGGATTAGCTTCATGAACTTCCCACCTAGAAGACCCACAAAAAGAACAAACTTCATCTTTCTCCTTGTCATCCCAAAACAACATACAACCATTAGGACATGAATGAATTTTTTCATATCCTAATCCCAAGTTAGCCATTATTTTTTTTACTTGATGTGTTGATTTAGGTAACACATTTCTTTCAGGTAACAAATCCTTTAAAAACTCTAACAACATAGAGAAAGATTTGTTACTCCAACCACCAAGACACTTTAAATGGTACAAATACACCACACATGATAATTTGTTGTATTTGTAATTCGGATACACTTTCTCTTCAGCCTCCTTCATAAGGTCATCGAATTTATTTCTCCCATTTCCCATCTCTTACTATTATTAAGGCATTCTCATGTATTTCCTCTCCCCTTCCACCTTCCATCTCAAAATATCATTCAACATTTCATGCATTTCATGGTGAAATATGCTTTCTTCTTCGTTATGGCTTGTGCTTGTTGATGCAACTGTTGTGTCCTCCCCATGATATACCCATTTCAAGTAGTTTGGACAGAACCCTGAACATATGAGGTGATCTAGAACAATTTGTCTATTCTGATATTCCATGTTTATACAGTTTGTACATGGACACTTTATCATCCCCCCGTTGACACTTGTTCTCTCAAATGCAAACTTCAAGAAGTTTAGCACACCATTAACAAAGTTTGATGATCTTGGTGCAAGATGCATCCAAGATCTGTCCATGACTTATAGTGAGAGAAACAACAGAAGATTAACTATAACAAAAGAAATGGTATTAGTATAAGATGCATCTCAAACTTTTTATCAGGCATGAGTATGAGTAATTAGGTCTCCACAATCAGGAACAGAAATGACAGTACTACAAAAAACAACAAAGAAAATAGAATGAATACCTGCTGAAGTAGCTAACTCCTATGGAGGCAAAATGTAGTATAGAAAAATCGTAGTTGCAACAAGGAACCAATTGACCCAGTAGCCTTGTAGCCTTGGACCAGAGATTGATGGTGATACCTGTAATCGAATCGTTAGTAGGAAGCAGAGATCAATCGAATTTTAAAAGGTGTTAGTGAACCCGAGTGAAGGTGAAACTTAACCTAAAGTTCGCCAGTAGGTTTGTTTTGTTGAAATTGTTTGAAGGATGAGGAAATCACGACTATAACCATTCAAAACTATAATTTCACAGCAGGAATTTTCAATAGAGGGATGGGAAATTTCCTTGGCGGTCGATTTCAACTTTTAATGGAGGGAAACTAAAAATTCACCTGATTCTGGAGGGAATTCTGGAGGGAAAGGGGAAGCCAAACTGAAATTTTTACTAGATGCACAAGAGAAGGGGAAAACGAGCCACAAATGAAAATGAAAGTTAGGTCTAAATAAATGGCACATTAGTTGTATTCTTTTACACGCATCATTTAAAAAGTGAATATATTTTTCATTTAAAATAAGATAAGATGCTTTTTTAAGTTTTAATGGCACATATATATATTTTTATCCCATCGTTAATTCTAGGCCCATTTTTTAAGTTTTAATGGCACATATATTTTTTTTTATTCATCCTTAATTCTAAGCCTCACTCTTAAAATATATATTTCATGTAAAGTTAAATTGAAGCATCATAATATGGGAGAGATTTATATATATTCTATATATATATAATATATATATATATATTATATATATATATATATATATATATATATATATATATATATTTGTTTTGTTCCACTTAATTCTATTTAAAAGGACATAAAATATAAAATGCCATTAAAACTAGTTCTCTTTTTTATGGCATATGCAAAGTGCCATTGAAAAGCAAAATTAGTGGCACAAAAGATAAATGCCACTAAAAATGTGTGCCACTAAATGGCTTTTTTTGTAGTGTGTGGTGGTGGTTTTGTGATGTGGACCGAGACTTGGAGGAAAATGCATTAGCTTTTTTGGATCGATTTGATGTGCTACATGTTTAAGTTTGTGGGTTAATTATCCATTTTTTTTATTCTTATTTTGACTTGGGTTTTGTGTATGACTTTGGGCTTTGTTTCCTGTTTAAAACTCATTGTTTTGATAGAAAGATCAGTTTTTTTTGGAATAGAGATTTCGTTCCCTGTTAGTTCCGATACCTAATTCCCTACATGATTTTATATTGTTTCCCTAATCCGGTATTCACGTTATTATGAATCAACGGGTTTGGAAGAGTCATAGTTGGTATTCATGTGTGAATCAACATCTATGATTGTTTTATCAAGTTCTGGGTTATACCCTGCATCAATTGGTATCAGAGCCCGAGAGTGATTCCGAGCCATGCCTCCACGACAAAATCGACAATGCATGACACATCTGGAAGAGATCTTTGAGCGTGATGACAACAACCAGTTCGAGGAACGAGTTAGAAAAATCTTTGATGAACGCATAGATCATGTTGTTGAACAATTAACCAAAGGATGATCGCCCTCTTGGACGGACGAGAGTCAGAACGCCATTCGCGGGGTTCTGTTATAGACTAAACAGAGGACGAGAATGACAAACTCGAGAGAAGACCTCCAGCTAGACGTCAAACACGTCTGATAGGCAGAAGTAACGATAGGAGGTGGGAATCGGGAATTAAAACATATATTCTGGAGATTCATAGGAACCTACAAGCAGAAGACTTCCTTGATTGGCTTGCAACAGCTGATGAGATTTAGAATTCCGAGGGGTCCCAAGATGACATGCGGGTTTCGTTGATCGCAACCAGATTACGGGGTCGTGCAACGGCTTGGTGGCAGCAACTAAAACTCACTCGACATCGCATGGGAAAACAAAAGATTAATACATGGGAGAATATGAAAAAACACCTACGTGCAACATTCCTTCCATATAACTACCAACGAATCATGTATCAACGCCTACAAAAATTAAAGCAGGGACTTCACACCGTAGACGAGTACACCACCGAATTCTACCAGTTGTTAGCAAGGAATGAGATTCAAGAAACCGAAGATCAGTTGGGTAGCTAGATATATTGGTGGTTTGAAACTCCAAGTACAAGAAGTGGTGAACATGTTTGACCCTGTGTCCATATCAGCGACCCATCAGAGAGCACTTGCAGTTGAAAAAACAGTCCCGACGAATACATCGAATCAATTCACAAACCCATTCGACAAAATAGGACCTTTAACAACATGTGGTAGCACCTCACGTACAGATACGATCTCTGAGAAAAGACAAAACATCCCTGCTTACTCATCGGAAGCGACCAACTGTAATCTAAAATGTTTCTTATATGGAGAACACGATCACCGTCAAGCTTAATGTAAGAAGGGAGGGAAGAGAGTTATGTTGCGGATGAAGACTGCATGGAAGCGGGGGACCAGAACCCTCCCATGTATGATGAAACTGATTATAAGGAAGAAATAGTTGAAGGTGACGAGGGGCTCAATCTCATTGTGCGAAGGTCGTGTTTGACCCCAATGGCACATGAGGAAGATTGGTTGAGGAATAACATATTCCAATCAACTTGCACCATTTAGGCAAGGTGTCTCGATTCGTCTTCGGCGTCGGTAGTTGTGAGAATATAGTGTCCGAAGAAGCGATTCAAAAGTTAAACATCCGAACGGAGCGACACCCGAAACCTTATAAACTAGCATGGCTCAAACGTGGTGGGGAGGTAACAATTTCAAAACGCGTGTTGGTTACTTTCTCTATAGGTGCTAAATATCGTGACGAAGTCTGGTGCGATGTTATCACCATGGACGCGTGTCACCTGTTGCTTGGTCGACCATGGTAGTTTGACAGAAAGATAACACATGACGGCCGAGCCTACTCCTACAATTTCAAGCCAATATTGGAAGAGTTTCAGGATATGTTCCCTGAGGAGCTTACTGACGAGCTTCCCCCACTTCGTTATATTCAACATCACATAGATCTTGAACCAGGGGCATCCCTCCCCCACCGACCATACTATTGCATGAGCCCTCACGAGCATGAAGAACTTAGAAGGCAAGTAGAAGAATTACTCTTCAAAGGACTCATACGAGAAAGCATGAGCCCTGTTGCGGTATCGACATTGTTAACCCCAAAAAAAGATGGCACTTGGCACATGTATGTCGACAGCCGTGCAATCAATAAAATTGTGGTACGATACCATTTCCCCATTCCTTGCCTCGACGACTTGCTTGACCAGATTAGTGGCACCAAGATATTCTCTTGCTTGGATTTGAAGAGCGAGTATTATCAAATTCGTATGCGGCCAGGAGACGAGTGGAAATCGACATTCAAGACACGAGGGATTATATGAATGGTTAGTGATGCCATTTGGTTATCAAATGCGCCAAGCATGTTCATGCGTGCAATGAACTAACTTTTACGACCCTTCATCGGCTGGTTCATTGTCGTTTACTTTGACGACATCCTGATCTATAGTGGTGACCCGGAAACACACCTCCAACATGTAATGGAAGTATTAACTGTATTACAACGTGAGAGATTCTATGCAACAATAAAGAAGTGTGTGTTTATGGCAACTAAGATATTATATCTAGGACATGTTATTTTAGGTGATGGATTGTAGGTAGACGACACCAAGGTCGAGGCTATCCGGTTGTGGCCAAGTCCAAGATCAATAACCAAAGTAAGGAGCTTCCATGGTCTCACCTCCTTGTACATGAGATTTATACCACATTTTAGCGGCATCATGGCCCCCATTACCGATTGTATGAAACACACTAAATTTTTCTGGTCTAACGAGGCAGAGAAGGCATTCACGTTAATCAAAGAAAAACTCACCACCGCACCAATATTAGTGCTGCTAGATTTCTCGTAACCTTTTGAACTACATACCGATGCGTCGAAGATAGGAATTAGAGCCGTACTCAGGCAAAACGGAAAACACGTGGCGTTCTATAGTGAGAAGGTGTCTGGACCTCGTTTTAACTACAACACATACGATGTTGAATTTTATGCGGTAGTTCAAGCAGTTAAATATTGACGACACTACCTATTTCATCGCGGGTTCGTTTTATACACGGATCATGATTCCCTTCGACACCTCCACCGATAAGATAAAGTCTCCGCCCGACATGCCCATTGAATTTCTTTCCTTGAGGGGCTTACCTTCGTGGTGAAATACAAAGCGGGAATCACTAACCAGGTCATCGGTGCCCTAAGCCGCCGAACCAGCATGCTTGCTACTATGCCAGTCGAAGTACCTGGGTTTGATTATTTTAGTGACTTATTTGTTACAGATCCCTATTTTTCTACCATCTTTGCAGATGTCCAATCAGGTAAGCGGACAAATTTTCTTCTCCATAACAGCTTCTTGTTCCCGGGAAATCAATTATGCATCCCCGACTGTAGCTTACGGCTACAAATAATCAAAGAATTACATGGAGAGGGGCATGTGGTACGAGATAGGACTGTACAACTTGTTCAAGAATCATATTTTTGGCTAGGAATGCGTAGCAAGATCAAGAAGTTTGTGCAACGGTGTCGTATTTGTCAAATGTCGAAGGGTACGGCTACGAATGTTGGGTTATACACATCGTTACCCGTGCCGACCAAACCATGGGTTGACATCAGTATGGACTTTGTAGTGGGTTTACCCCGCACACAACAAGGTAACGACTCGATTTTCGTTGTGGTTGACCGCTTCTCCAAAATGACGCATTTTATACCATGTAAAAAGACAACATATACTTTCAATGTTGCCCTACTTTTCTTTCGTGCCATTCGCGGACTTCCTACTTTTATTGTATCAGATCGTGACACACGGTTCCTTAGTCACTTTTGACATACTCTATGGACAATAGTAAATACAAAACTCAATTTTAGTAGCGCCTACCACCCGCAGACAGATGGCCAGACCGAAGTTGTTAATTGCTCTCGCGGAAATCTACTTCGTTGTCTAGTTGGTGATCACCCGAAGATTTGGGATAACAAATTGAGCCAAGCTTAGTTCGCCCACAACCAAGCTACCAACCGGAGCACCGGTTTCAACCCTTTTAGGGTCATGTACTCCGTTCAACCAGGGGGACTGTTAGATCTCCTCCCATTTCTGAGCACCGCAAAGGATGAAAGAAGAGTTGTTGCTTTTGTTGAAGGACTGCTTGATACCCACAAGGTTGTGTATGACAACCTAACTGCTGCCAATGCAAAGTACAAGTTCAATGCTGACAAAAAAACGTCGTCACGTAAAGTTCGAAGTCAGGGATTTTGTCTGGGCCATACTTACTAAGGACCGTTTCTCTGTTGGCGATTACAACAAACTTAAGTCAAAGAAGAACGGATCTGTAGAAGTCATTGAAAAGATGAACCCCAACGCTTACCGCCTCAAACTTCCAAGTCACGTTCGTACTGCTGATGTATTCAATGTCAACACCTTATTCCTTTCTATGATGACTCCTCTGATGACGATCCAGAACAGACTTCGAGGGCGAATTCTCTCCACCCCAGAGGGAATGATGTGGGCCGAGACTTGGAAGAAAAGGCCCTAGCTTTTTTGGATCGATTTGATGTGCTACGTGTTTAAGTTTGTGGGTTAATTATCCATTTTTTTATTCTTATTTTGACTTGGGTTTTGTGTTTGACTTTGAGCTTTGTTTCCTGTTTAAAACTCATTGTGTTAACAGAAAGATCAATTTTTTTTTGAAAAAGAGATTTTATTCCCTGTTTGTTCCAATACCTAACTCCCTATAGGATTTTGTATGGTTGCCCTAATCCAGTATCCACGTCATTGTGAATCAACGGGTTTGGAAGAGTCACAGTTGATATTCGTGTGTGAATCAACATCTTTGATTGTTTTATCAAGTTCTAGGTTGTACCCTGCATCATTTTGGATGAGCGGGAAGAAACTCATGCAGAGTCCAATATTATTATTACATAAATAGTACTTATAGTTTATAACAAGTCATAAGTTTCATTATTATTATTATTATTATTTTGAACGGTGGAATATCAAAAAACAAAAACTAGTATGACGCTAGAAAATTGTAAGATATATATGCAGAGTCCAATATTGTGTCTTCAAAATAGTCTTTATAGAGAGATGAAGGCTCCAAAATATATATATATATATATATATATATATATATATATATATATATATAGGACCGTGTCACAACGATGTGAAGACTCCCTTAACGAATTACAACTCACTTTTTCACTTTTTCAGGACATTTACATTTTGTATTTTTGTTTAAATTATTCCACAACTACTATGAGAGTGATTTGGCTGCTCAGCTCCTCTTGTCCACATATGTGCGCTAATTATTATGAGTTATTTCTAAGCAAAAAAACTCATTATTGACATGCAATCTCTCAATAAGTGAATAACAAAGTTACATCATTCTTCTGGTTGACTAGTTATGATTTCTTGTGTTGTATTAAAAAAGGCCAAGTAAAATGGTAAAAATCTCATATCGGATTGTCTTGTTCTAGTTTTCTTTAAAAAGACTGTATTGTTGAAAAAAAGGAGCACAAAATAGATAAAACGATTGTAACTTTCACACTTTATTAAATAAGATATTTTCGTAAAAGGATAACTAACAACTTTTATAACTTTTTAGTATTTGTATAATTCATTTAAAGGCCTTTTATTATTGAAAAAAGTCGATGTTTTTAAAAAGTTCATCTTACACCCAAATCAAATTTAGATAGTAAATCATTATCATTTTTTACTAATTAATTTTAGAAATAACATTGTATATATTGTACAAGAAGAGTATCATCAAAATCATTTAACAAAACAACTAAAATAGCAAAATATCAAATATCAAAAAATTATTGCAATAATAATATTTTTTTTATAATTATGTATGATAATTTTTGCTATGTTTTATTTTAATAGCTACATATATGTGCTTAAAACGTCATATTGGATACATATTAATTATAAAACATATCATACATGAAAACAAAAAGAAACATGAAGCTAAGTAAAAACCAATACGGACAAAAAGATAAGCCAATATAGGGTTTTGTAACAAGAAAACCCAATTGAATTTTAATAATCAATTTCTAGACTAAATTTCACAAACAATCCCTATAGTTTAGTGAACATTACAATTTCAGTTAAAGTTTCGATTTGTATCAATTGAAGTCCATGTGATTTCCAATTTTTGCAAGGTAAGTGCAACCCACTAACCCTATCTAAATTGAGTCGTTAAGGGGACGCACATGCCTTCCACGTGAGGGTATTTTCGTTCGCCGGTTCCTTATTTCTTCCTGGAGTGTACGTTACCACCATTACACTCTTAATTATGGTATATGCTTGATTACATACCTTTAAAAGACAGTTAACAAAACCCAAGAAACATTTTTATATCTCTCATCAAGTGAAGAGGTTCATTAACATGTTTACTAAATGACTCCTATAATGTAGCGCCATAATGGAAGTACAACTGTTATGACCCTAAATCTGAGTATGATAAGTAAATGTTGATTTTGATTTATGCTTGGAAATGTTGACGTACATAATTTTTTGAAACATTATTTTCTTCTACAAATTTTCAAAAGGAAACAAGAACTTATTTACAAGTTACCATGTGTATATATCACGGGGGAAGATGACTAACAACCTGTATATGAAGGAGATACATCAAAGGTAGGACTAGCTATGTTGATTTCACTAACATAGATTGATTTTCAATACATGAGTTAAATGTCATGGTTCACGAGTTTATTTAAGGTATATGGGTGTGTCAACCCACCCGATGAAAAGACATTTCAATTTAGGAATTAAGCAAGCCCAAAAGTTTCGACGTAGATTCTTTGATGTCTATGAAGTGATGATTGTTGTAGGGTGGCCACATCCACAAAACATCTTTAAATTTCTTCAATGACAGACAAAATATGAGGAAAATTGGAGCGGTTGGTTGTGAAGAAGGGAGTTGTACCTATATACACCCGTTGGAGAGAGCAGACACAAATGGATGAAACTACCCTCATGTGGAAGGCATGTGTGTCCCCTTAAGTTGGTGAGTTGGGCTGACATTGCAAAAATTGGAAATCATAGGGACTTAATAAATACAAATTGCAAACATGGACTGAAATTGTAATATTCACAAAACCACAAGTACTGTTTGTGAAATTTATTCATATTTCTATAAACAAACTAATTAAACCAATAAGAAACAACAATGGTAATCATGAATAGTTTCTCTACGGTAACTTTTATATAGGAAAAGGGAAATCTTAACTTCGAAAATGTTTGTGATTAAAGAAGCTGCTTTCGAATGGATGGAAGATGTTCTTACTTTTCATAAACATATCAACTTCATTCTTTCCATTTTAATTATGTACATGATCAATAACCGATCAAGCTTAGAGAGGATAAAAATTGATGTTATAAAATTAGAAGTTTTAAATAAATTAATCATCAAAGATGTTCTTATTTTTCTCATATACTATATCAACTTCATTTTTTTAATTACGTAACATGAATAATCAATCTCAGATAGGATGAAATTGGGATACAAAGAATTAAACATCTCGACAACTATTAATGATTTATAGTATCCAACATTGGTTAAAATTAGACATTAATAACGGAACTGATACTATCATACAATAATTACAGTTGTATATTTAACAGTTTTAATTTATTAATTGAAAAATAGGATAAAATTTTAATCATCCATTCTCTCTCCAATTTTGCATGGACCATCGTGGTATCAAAATAATATAATACTATAAAATTACTTGCAAAGACCCCGCTTTTGACAAACTAATGCATGCACATCGTATCTTTTTGTTTCCGATGGCGCATATTCATAGAAACATCCCATCACGTATACGTGTTTAGAAATAAGCCCAATAAATTAGAATTTTCTTGCATTTTGGTCCAAATTAAAACGTTAGCTGTTCCATCCGAAGACGCCCCTTTGAACTTGACATCTTACTATATATACTAACCCTTTTGTTCTTCCAACATACTCATTACTCAATTATTAAATATGACTAAAATGGCCACTTCTTCTACAACCATCTCCTTTGCATTCCTTGCTTTTACCTTGTGGTTAATGATCTGTACCTCTTCAGCACAACTCACACCCAATTTCTACTCAAAGAGTTGCCCAAAAGTCTTTGATGTTGTGGGCTCAGTGATTCGATCCGCTGTTGCAAAGGAGAAACGTATGGGTGGTTCCCTCCTTCGGCTCCATTTCCATGATTGCTTTGTCAATGTATGTTGTTTTCTTTGTCTTTAATTAGTTCAATATCAATATCAATATATACTCATGTCACGTAAGAATAGAGTAGCGGGAATGATCATTGTCTGAGGTAAGAAGTAGGTAGTATCTATCTGAAGATAGAGACACTGTTTCTATAGATAACTTTTGGCATAAAACAAAAGATGCAAGCATACACTCGATGATCAAATTCGAGTGTTTATAGAGTAAGATTTGACTTTTAAAAGTTAAATTAAGTTTTGGGACATTAATTTTTTCAGGGGTGTGATGGGTCGCTCCTGCTAGACGATACGCCTTCGTTCACTGGGGAAAAAACCGCTGCGCCAAATAATAATTCTGTTAGAGGGTTTAATGTGATCGATGACGTAAAGTCGAAGGTTGAAAAAGTTTGCCCAGGTGTGGTCTCGTGTGCTGATATACTGGCGATTTCAGCTCTTGAATCCGTTCTTGCTGTAAGTATAAGTATGAGTGTACGACTACAAAAATAAAACATTGTTAACATGAAAAAGAATTCGTGAAATCATTTATTGCATCAGTGTACGAAAATTTGGCAAAAACCACGTAAAAACCAAGTAAAGATGTTGATTTGAAAGGTTAATCGATTTTTTCTTGATCTTTAAACCATTAACATGATAAAAACGGTATAATATGTTGTGAAAATTGTAATCATTATCCACTGATTTTTAATTTAAAAAAATAGTCTTATATTTATTATTATTAAAATATATTGTGATTTTGTACTTGTATTAGATTACTGTTATTGTAATATAAGTCTATTGTGTGCTCTATTGAAGTATGCATTTAGTTTTAATTTATTAAAAACAAAGTCAAAATTCTTAAATAAGTTAATAATATAAAAATCGAGTGTAATATTACTTGCTTAATTTCTTTAACCGACAGCAAATGTGATCAACTTTGACTTGAATTGTGTGATTGAATTGAACACCATATTTTTACGTAGTTAGGTGGGCCCTCTTGGAAGGTTAAATTAGGAAGAAGAGACTCCAAATCAGCAAGCCTTGCAGCTGCCAACAGCGGCGTTATTCCGCCACCGCAATCCACCCTCAGCAACCTCATCAACCGCTTCCAAGCGGTGGGTCTTTCCGCCAAAGACATGGTGGCGCTCTCAGGCGCGCATACAATCGGACGAGCACGGTGTACAACTTTCAGAGCACGTATCTACAACGACACCAACATCGACGCTTCCTTCGCCAAATTACGGCAATCAAACTGCCCACGTCCGGCGGGTTCCGGAGACAACAACCTCGCACCATTTGATGTCACAACGCAGGATAAATTTGACAACAATTACTACAAGAATTTGATCAGCCAAAAGGGTCTTCTCCGGTCAGACCAGCAGCTGCACAACGGTGGTTCCACCGATTCCTTGGTGGAGCAGTACAGCAAAACCCCCAAAAGTTTCAGTGTGGCTTTTGCTGCCGCCATGATCAAGATGGGTGATATTCGTCCCCTCACCGGCTCCAAAGGTGAGATCAGGAAGAATTGCCGGAAAGTTAATTCGTAATTTATTGAAAAACCTTGTGTTTTTATTTCCAGAGTTTGAACTTACGATTTAAGTTGTATTTTGTTTTTTTAAATAAAGCTTGGTGAAATGTATTTTCTGTGATAAAATCAAGTAATCAACTCATGTAGAATGTGACCGGTGTCTTTATTTTTCTAAAGTTTGAGAAATTAAATAGGGTAGATGATACAAAATTCATTAACTCTTTTTTTTTTTTTTTTTTTTTTGGGTTACAAATAAGTTCTTATCTTTTTAATATGTTATAATTCTGACCAGTCGACTCGCTGTCTTCAGGTCAGCCGGTTGCACTTTAGAAACGAAAAAAATAGTGCAAAAGACATTATGTTTTCAATTTATTGAGATTTTGACACTAAGATTTCAATCTTTTCCAATTTTGACATTATATTTTTAATTTTCTCCATGTTGCAACATAAATGAAATAAACATATGCAAAGACATAAACAACAAAAAACGATGCTTCATAAAAGAATATCATTCATAATTCATTTTCAAACAACGACGTTTACCATAAAAGCAATGTATGTACTGAGAACATGATTACATAGATCCCACGGTATAACTTATTCATGATCTTGTTCCTATGACATGTTCGATTGAAATCATAAGTTGGTTTTCATTGAGCCTTATTGGTTGTTACAGAGAAATTGAAAGTAAGTTTCCATAACTAGGAACTCTTGGTAAGTCACATAACTCATAACTCTTGGTATTGAAACATGATTACCTAAATCCCATAGTATAACTTATTCATGATCTTGTTCCTGTAACACGGTCGATTGAAATCATAAGTTGGTTTTCATTGAGCCTCATTGGTTGTTACAGAGAAATTGAAAGTAAGCTTTCATAACCAGGAACCCTTGGTAAGTTACATAACTATTTCTTGCAATTAAACCACATAGAGAAAGCAAAAGAAATAGACACCCTAACTTATAAGTTAAAAGGATGAAAAAAACAATCATTCGAGTGTGGCTTGGTAAGTTAAAAATATATAACCCAATGATCTTATGTTGTATTATGATTTCATATATGAAAGTTAGCTTAGTAACTCCATGCATTAGTATAAAAATGAACTATGGTCACGCTTTTTGGAAACAGGGTTGTCACGGATTTGGTTAAGAGTGTCACTAAAATTCATTAATCAAATTTTAGTAATGTTTTAGTCACATATTAGCTTAAAAATCGTCACTATTGCAAATTATTTTTCACATTTTGTCATTGTTTTACATAAAAAATGTGAAAAATGGTAGCCAATAGTCACGGTAGATCATTGTGACTGTAAGTATTTTATTACGACATTTAAAAAAAACATGTGACTATAAGCGTTTTATGATAATAGTTTAATTTGGTATGTAATGATTTTGAATATAAAAAAGTAACATGTGATTGTAAGTAATTTATTATGACATTTATAAAAAAAATAAAACATGTAACTAAAAGTGATTTATAGTCACGTTTTAATTTTTATGTGTATCAAAAAGTAAAAAATAATAACAATAAAAGAAAAAAAGCGTATGACTATAAATGTTTTGTGGTGACAGTTTTGAAAAATGAAACTTGTATTTGGAGGGAGGTTAATTACAACCTGTTAAAATTTTAAGTTTTCAAACACCCAAATTCGTGAAAATTTTGAAAGCCTCTAAATTCCTCAAAATGTTGAGATGTCACAAATTCTCTCTCTCTCTCTTTTCTTTTCTCTCTCTCTCTCTCTCCCCCCCCCCCCTTGGCTTTCCCTCAAAATCGCCCTAACTTCTCTTTGTACCTTAATTGTTAACGTTACCTAACGACCACGTTAAGTGTAACAGAAAATGTAACAGAGACGTTACTACTTTGGCTAAGACCCGGTCTTGGCCTAAAAGAGCCAAGGCCAGGGCGGCAACTCATTTATCATCACGTGGGAAGAATATTCCATGTGATCTCCTCATTCACTCCCAACCAATGGGAAAGCAACAAATAGCCCGGGTGACGCCCAGAACTGACGTCACCAGGCAGTCAGTTAGCGTGAATAGCTCTTCCAGTAAGAGGAGGCCACGTTTCACGCTTACGAGGCATGATCCCCACGATCCGTTAGTAACAGGTATAAAAGGATCTCTTTCGTCTTAAGGAGGGGATCTACTTTCTCTCTTATGAAAGATTACCCTAAAAATTCCTCTCTCTAAGATCTCAGACTAAGTTGATCGTCGGAGCGACGTCCCGAGAGAACACCTGATCGTCCTTTAACGATTCTTTTGTGATTGTGTTCTCAGGTACGCACCCAAGTCAGATCCATCCTTCAGTATCCTAACCATCTGAGCATATGCCACAACATTTGGCGCCATCCGGACGTATCCTCAGAGTGATACAGCCAATAGACGACGTTGGTTCCTTACATAAGGGGGATCTAAACCAAACAACATCTGGTATGGCAGTAGAAGCTCTGTTCAGAACGCAGGAACCACTCCAGGTGCTAATGACACAGATCCCGCCAATTACGATAAAAACAGCAGAACCAGGGCTCCAGAGCAATTTCCAGCAATTGTCATCGGATGTCTCATCACCTCAGATGGTGATATCACATCCCAATCTGTTGCAGACAAATCCGTATGAAGGCACTGAGGTATTCACTATCTCTAACTCTCGTAAGAGAAACACACCTCACCATGCAGAAAACAAGGTCGAGGCACTCTCGAGAAACCTACTTAACATCAGTTTCTCGAGCAGCGATCCCAGACCATCAAACTGGGATCCACTCCTCATATCAGGATTCATTCATAACACGAAGGTCCACCGAATATACATTGACAATGGTAGTTGCTCTAATATACTCTATGAGCACTGCTTCCCGGCAGCTACCTGACACATGGAAGGAGGGGCTCCAACCCTCAACTGGTGAACCATTAGTAGGATTCACCGGGCATAGCTTGTGACCGCTAGGAATTATTCGGTTGCGCTTAACGTTGGTCAGCCACGACGAAAGGGACCAAATCACAAGGACAGTCGAATTCTCTGTGATCCGATACCCAGCAGAACACAACATTCTGCTTGGACGATTAGCAATCGATTTACTACATCTCGTACCATCGACGATACATGGCATCATTAAATTCAGCACGCGCCAGGGATCGGTGGCGGTCCTCGCCAGAAACACCAGAGCACAGCATTGCCACCAAATCATAGCCGCCCCAAAACTCGTGCGCGCGCCAAAGAAGTCCAAGGAGGGATGTTCCACAGAGCAACACCAGATAAACATGGAGTATCCAGAGCAGCTCGTGTGAATCAGCGCCCACTTAACAGATGAAACCAAGGCACGACTGGTGGCGCTTCTGAGGCAATACTTCATCGTCTTCGCCTGGAATCCAACGGATCTGACAGGCGTCGATCGACAGATCATAGATTACAGTCTTAACATAGTGCCTGGGAGCAACCCTATAAAGCAAAAGAAGTGAGGACAGGCGGCAGACCGCAATATGGCTATTAACGCAGAAGTAGCTGATCTGGTGAGTGCTGGCATACTCAGGGAAGTAATGTTCCCAACATGGATAGCAAACCCGGTCATGGTAAAGAAAGCCAATGGGGCATGGCGAATGTGCATAGATTATTCAGATTTCAATAACGCCTGCCCAAAAGATTGTTATCCCCTCCCGGAGATCGATCGGATAGTCCAATCGCTTGAAGGCTTCCGATTCAAATGCTTCCTCGATGCATATAAGGGCTATCACCAGGTGCAGATGAAGCGAGAAGATGAAGCAAAAACAACTTTCCATACCGAAAAGGGCACCTTCTGCTATCAAACAATGCCATTTGGGCTCAAAAACGCGAGTGCTACTTACCAAAGGCTGATGGATAAGGTATTCACCGACCAAATTGGACAGAATATTGAAGTCTACGTCGACGATATGGTAATTAAAATCCACAATGAAGATATGTTACTCCAAGACGTGAAAGAAACCTTCAAAACGCTAGTCGAAGCGCATATGAAGTTAAATTCGGCTAAGTGTACTTTTGGAGTCGAGGAAGGGCAATTCATTGGCTATCAGGTGACCAGGGAAGGAATTCTACTCAATCCCACCAAAATACAAGAGTTCCTCGAGTCGAAAACCCCCCACAACCTTAAGGGAGTGCAGGAGATTAACGACAGGTTAACGGCTCTTGGAAGGTTCATTGCCAAATCCGCAGAGAAGGCGCTTCCTCTGTACTAAACACTCAAGGGATGCCTAGACAAAAAGAAATCCAAATGGACAGAGGAAGCGGACGTGACCTTGCAAAAATTGAAAGACGCATTGCAGCAACTCCCGACTCTCGCCTGCCTACTTCTAGGGGAGACTCTACAGATGTACTTAGCAGCGTCTGAAGAGGCTATCTCCTCTGTGTTAGCGGTGGAAAGGGAAGGCAAGCAAATCCCCATTCACTTTGTCAGCAGGGCCCTGCAAGGGCCAGAAGTAAATTATCCGGCCTTGGAAAAACTAGTCCTCGCCTTGGTCTACGCAGTGAGACGTTTACAGAGGTATTTCCAAGCCCACAAGTGGAGGTTCTGACCAATTACCCAATAAAACAGGTGCTGCTGTCACACCCCAAAACCAAGAACGGCGGAAACGTTCTGGGGCGGAGGACGTCATGTACAGTATCACAACAATGAATAGTAGTAAACAAGCAACAACATCATCCATTGCATTAATAATATAATTTTAATACAAATATGTCTTGCCAAATTTAATAGACACCAAAATATAATTCAAAATGAAAGATGAATCTTGAACGAGCTTTATCTTCTCAAAACTTGGCTCCGGTACCTGTCTACTAGTGACCTGAGAATACAAGTTATTTTGAAAGCGAGTATCAGCTTTAAAGTTGGTGAGATCATAAGTATATTAGTGTCTGTATTTGGACGAAAGTATTTGTAAGATGTTTTATAAGATGTTTTGTAAGACGTTTTGAACTCTCCTAGAAAACCCTATGTTTCCTACTAAAAGTAGCCTTCTACCAAGGCATCTAGTGTCTGTGTGTGTGTCTCTTGTAAGAGTATGTATTTTTCCCAAATCTGACTATCATTAACCAAAAATAAAGTTTTTTACATTACAGTGCATTGTGTGAATGTTCACAAAGTGAATGTAATGGGAAAA